TGAGAGAAAGATGTCCCTGGTGGAGCACAGATGGCATGTTTGAAAAAGAAGCTGATTATGCCAAGAGGTTAGGATGCCTGAGAGCTCTGCTTATTGTTCTGGAAGACCATGAGAGAACCAGCGATGAATGTTGATCTGTAAGTAGGAAGCAGAATAGCTATGAAGACACTTTGATAACTGAAGCACCTGAGAGAATCAAAGCAACTTGAAGTACATATCCAAAATAGGAATTATTTTAATTTCTCTTGTGTGTTCTATTCTCTTTACAAATAACTGAAAGAAATTCCATCTGTTTAAAAGGCAGTACACAAACAAAATCATGGAATGTCAGAAACCATGTTTAGTTAAGAAATATTTGCATGCAGAAATAAGAAATAATATCCAGGAAACACAGGAATATAAAGAATGGAAATCCAAAAGGTTATGGCCAGATCTGCTTCAGGAGCAAAACCAAACTCTGATACTTGACCTATGGTCTTAGATATGGCTAAGCTTCCTTAAATAGTAGCTTCTATTTTGAGACTATTGGACCAGTTCGGGTGCTATCTTTTTCAGTACTTAATGGGGACTACAGAAGCAAAAATGAAAAAAGAAAGAATCTCTGCTGTAACTCTATCATTTCTACCTGAATTTCTGATGTTCTTCAAGAAGCAATATTAGGCTTTGTTTCTGCCAACAAAACTTACTCTGAGGACATAAACTTTAATAATGTGAAATGATTGTGTTTCTCAAAACTGAGTTTCCCTAAAGGCCATAAGCATTTTTGGATTTCTCATCATTAGTAATTAAAATTTATTTAACAATTCTGGGTATATTTAGTTATAGAAAATAAATTTAAAGTACAAATTCATGATCAAACATGTAGTGAAGTCTAAGAAAATAAAACAACTGACCTACAAAAAAATAATTTGAGAATTGTTATTCAAATATGCCTGCAAAAGAAATGTTGCTTACATTATCTTAAAATGTAAGAGCTGTGAGAGAATGTTCTGTTCCAGGCCTCTCTCCTTGGCTTATAGATTGCCATCTTTATGTTCACAGGGTATTCTTCTTGTATATAAGAGTCTGTCTTCAATTTTTTCCTGTTTGTAAGGAACCAGTCATATTGGCTTACAGCCAATTCTAATGACCTCATTTTAATTTGGTAAAGAACCTGTGTTAGTCTGTTCTCACACTGCTGTAAGGACATACCCGAGACTGGACAATTTATAAAGGAAAGAGGCTTAATTGACTCACAGTTAAGCATGGCCAGGGAGGCCTCAGGAAACTTACAATCATGGTTGAAGGGAAAGCAAACAAGTCCTTCTTCACAGGAAGGAGCAAAATGAGAGCCAAATGAATGGGGAAATTTCTTATAAAACCATCAGATCTCATAAGAATTTACTGTCCTGAAAATAGCATACGAGAAACTGTCCCCATAATTCAACTACCTCCCACCATGCCCCTCCTACGACACATAGGAATTATGGGAAATGCAATTCAAGATGAGATTTGGGTGGGGACACAGCCAAATTATGTCAGAATCCAACCACAAATAGTCACATTCTGAGATGCTAGGGGTTAGAAATTCAACCTATGAATTTTTGAGGGACACAATTCAACTCAAAGCAGCACATAGTGAATATTCGATTACTACAAGTGGAATACTTGAGTAGTTTTGGGAATTAAGAATGCATATCACCTAAGTAGACACAGAGTAGGCGTTATGGTTGGTTAATTTGTTGTATTTGTGGCAAAGAGATCCATCTTTCAGTTTATGCATAAAAGTTTTAGGCCATATGTGAATTCACAAAAAGAACAGAAAAATGATATAATTGCTTATACCTCTGTAATGATAAAAATGAATTTCTAAGTTTATATATATATATATATAAAGTTAGAAAGGCATTATATGTAATATGATATATATATAATATATTAAAAAGTTTTATTATTTGCAATACTTTAATTAAATTCATTATGCTGGAAATATTTAAAAAGTATGTTTAATCCCTGAAGTATATATTTTTTACTAAATGTATTCCTCTAAACATAAGAAACAAGTGATTTTAGAAAAACAAATGTTTTAATGTAGTCACCAGAGGGAGCTATATGTCACTGTACGTAATAACTTAAAGAGAAGGTACCAATGTTGTAGAAATTACAAACATCAATATAAATAAAATTTATAAAATTTAGAAAACCAGAAATGTGTGGTACTAAGAATAATTCAGATTTTAATACATTCACCTATTTGACATTTATGGAACATTCTACCCAAAACGTAGAATGAACATTCTTTTTTTTTTTCTTTTTTTGAGACAGAACCTCACTCTCTCAACCCAGGTTAGAGTGCAGTGGCATGACAACCCTCTGCCTCCTGGATTCAAGTGATTCTCCTGCCTCAGCCTCCTGAGTACCTGAGATTACAGGCACATACCACCCTTCCTGGATAATTTTTGTATTTTTAGTAGAGACGGGGTTTTTACCATGTTGACAGGCTGGTCTTGAACTCTTGACTTCAAGTGATCTGCCCATCTAAGCCTCCCAAAATGCTGAGATTACAGGTGTGAGCCTCTGCACTTGGTCCAGAATGAATATTCTTTACAAGTGCACATAAGAATGTTTATCAAGGTGGACCACATTCTGGGCCATTACACAACTCTCAAAAAAAATTCAGAAGAATTCAAGACATACAAAGCTTATTCACTGACCACACTGAAATTAAATTCACAACAGAAAGATGCCTGAAAAAAGCTCCAAAATATTTGGAAACTAAATAACATTCTTCAAAATAACTCATGTGTTAAGGAATAAATCAAAAGGAAAATTACAAGGTAGTTTGAGCTGAATAAAAATGAGGATGCCACATATCAAAATTTGTAGTTTTCATCTCTGTATCCATGTGCAGAGAGTGAAAGGAGGAAAATGAGAATAAAAAATAATTGTTGGGTACTAGGCTTAATACCTCGGTGATGAAATAATCTATACAACAGACTCCTGTGACCTGAGATTACTTATATAACAAACCTGTACATCGTGTGCCCTGAACTCAGAGTAAAAGTCAAAAAAAAATCGTAGGATGCTGATGAAGCAGGAAATAGGGAGAAATTTATGGAATAAATGTCTTTATATAAAAGAATAGTGGTTCAAATCAATGACTTCAACTTTCACCTTAAGAAATTTTAAAATTCAAAAGTATAAAATATTCTAGGTTGTGTGAAATATAACACAGAATAGTAATGAACATTAGGAGAGTCAGCAAATCTACTCTGAGTGTATCCTCAGGAGAACAGCCTGGTAGCCTCTGTGAAAGAAAAGACTTGTTAGAAATAACAGAAGGGAGAGGCTGGATCTCTTTCTTGCCTATTACTTCTCATTCACTTTTTCCTGACTATTGGTAAGATTGAATATCTTTTAATACATGTTAGCCACCTCTCTTTTCTCTTCAAATAATTGCACTTCTATTTTTAACCCATTTTAATTATTTCTGCTTCAAAAATTCATAAAAGTATATTATATAATTGGGATTTTAATCCTTTGAGTGTTATGGTTAGATTGCAAATATTTTTCTCAAGCTACCATCTATCTTTTGCTATTGCTTATAGTGTCTTTTATTGTTATGTATTTTTTGTTTATGTTTTAGGTAGTTAAATGCTCTATGTTTCATTTTATTTTCTTTATGGCTTCTGAGTTTCCTCTTTACAATGAAAAAGTGATCCAAAAATGTGATAAAGTCTGCTAATTTTATTCTAACATTTGATTTCATACTATAGGCCTAGATTCTTAATCCACCTGGAATTTATTTTTTATATAATATGAGATAGAGTCTATCTTTATTTTCTTCTAAATTAAATGCCAGTTTTAATGGTACCTTTGTTAAATAAAACAATAATTTCTCCTGCAGAATTAAAATGCCAACACTGAGTTTTCACATACGTTAAAAAATACATATTAACATTCTTCATTTTCCTCTCAATATTCTTGTTTCTTTCTGGCACTGATGCTGCACTGTTAAGTTTATAGTGAAATTAATGACTTGCCACTAGCTTTTTAGTTAATTTTATTGGTAATTTTGGATTTCCTGGCTGTATAATTATATCATCTGCATATGAACATTTTTGTCTCTCTTTTTCTATTTAAAATCTTTTTCTTATTTTATCACTGCACTTGACAGAATCATCTTCAATACTAAAACATAATTTTGGGTGCTCCTTTCTTATTCCTGATTTTAATAAAAATTGCTTTGTTATTTAGTATTGGTTATAATATTTTATCTAGCTTTTGACAAATAGTCTTTATTATATTTAATATATATCTATTTGTCTTTTTTTATACTTTGAATTTTTTAAATTCATGATAACATATTGAGGAAAAGATAACTAATGTAACTATTCTAACACTAAATCAAGGACAATATTCTACCTTTTAGTCATTGTTTTTATTTGAATATCTACTAAATTTTATTGAAGCCTTTTTATTATCAACTAATATAAACAATTCTACCTTTCTATAATTTGTGGACTTATTTAATCATATTAATAATGATGATATATTTCTTTTTTTTTTTTTTTGCTGTTGCTCAAATACTCCCAAGTGGTCTTTATTTCACAAAATTATTTTCATTTAAATTATTTTATCTACTACTAATACTGTGTGCTGCTATTTAAGTGAAAAAAACAATTGGCAAATTTACATATTATGTTCTTTAAGTCATTTCTTCTCCTTTGAGGCTGACCGTGTTGGACGGCATTGCTTCCCAAGCCTAGGCCAGTGAATTCTTACTGCTCTCACATTAACCTCAACTTGGACTTTCACATGAGGTTGGGTACCCATTATACCAAAGGCACTTATGAATCTTGTGTGGCCCAGGCGGAGGCTAAAATTTTGTACGTCCTCATGTGTGCAGGCTTCAACCCAAGAAGCAGAGGTTGCAGTGAGCCGAGATCTCACCATTGCACTCTAGCCTCTGCAACAAGAGCAAAGCTCTATCTCAAAAATAAAAAAAATAAAATTGTTTCCTCAATCTGAAGACATTTCAATCCCCAAGGAGGATTCTGGTGAAATGCCTGAGAGGAGACATTGAGAGTGGCAAACAGTGAACTTAGGGCTTCCGGGTACAACACCCTGCACTTAGTGGCTGGATGACCTCAGACAATTTTATTACTTTAGCCCTGAACCTCAGTTGCCTCATCTATAAGATGGGGACAGTCATAGCACCCATTTCATCATTATGAAGATTAAATACATTAAGGAAAACACCAGTATGCGCCTAGCACCTGCTAAACACTCAACAAAGGTTATCTGTACACACCTGATGTCTCAAAAAGGAACAGAAAGTTTAACACAGAAACCAGGAGGATAAAACCACTCACTCGTTCTCCTGGCTCCGGAAACATGAGCTGCCCTACCCCAGTTCATCCAAGCCCATTAAGATAGGTGTCCTTGTCCTTAATCTCCTCTGGCGTTCAGTGTGAGCCAAGTGTCAGATGGCTTTCATCTGCAAAACTAAATAACCCATTTATGCCTAGTGTTCCATTACTGGAACGCTAAGCTTATGGGAGTTATTTATATCCTACTGCTCAAGGTCATCACCAAGATCTGATTTTTCACACACTAATTTGTAACCTCCACCATAAATGGGATAATCAAAGTGATTGTGACAGTTTTGGGGGGACGAAACTCTAAAGGTTAATCTTCCAGCTTGACTGACCTGGAGGCATTCCTGTCAATGTAAAAGATCTTGTTGGGGGCGGTGGAAAAGCCGAGGCCGGCTCCTCGGCTGTACTTCCAGCTCATGGCCCGGTCATAGTCCTGCTGCAGGTTCTGCGGCAAGCTGTCTGCTGCCTTCTTGCTGAGGGCCATGTTGGGCCTTGCAGTGGTGCTTGGGGGACGGCTGAACGAGGTGGACAGGTTTTTGAAGCCACCCATAAGTTTCAGAAATTTCAGTTTCTGTTCCTCGTTCTCAAAACTAGCAGTATCCCACTGGCCAAACTGGGTTCCCATCAACTTCCTGGTTTCAGAAGCTTCAGTTTTGCCTGACTCTCGATCAATCTCTTCCTGCAAGGCCTTTCGCCTCACCTGGTCTATGTGCGCCTCATCCATGTTGCCTTTCTTTTCCAACACCACCTCTAAGTCCGTGTCTGCATCCTGCAGGAGAGGGCAGAGCTGGGTAAGGTTCAAGTTCACGATGAATGTCCTCTGCCCCTGCACCTCCTTCCCAGGGTCTCCTGCTACCCCACTCTCTGTGCTCTTCTTTTTCTTCCTTTTCAGAGCTGGCTCCTCGATGACTGGATGCTCTGCCTTCTTCTTGGACTTCATCTTTTTCTTCACGGGGGCCTTCGGGCCATCTCCTATGGGGATGTATTCCGGAGCCTCAACTTTGACTGGCTTCTTTTTCCTTCCTTTCCTAGGGCTGCTCTCCATGGACCTGGGGGGCTGAGAGTGGCCTGGGAGGGCCTCTCCCTCCTGGTGGACTTTTTTTTTCTTCTTCACTTTCTCACTGTGTTCCCTGGGGCTCTTCTGCTTCCGTTTCTGCCCCACAGCTGCCTGTTCCTCACCCTCCTTCCCCACTGAGCAAGTGTCCCCAGCATCCCCGGCTTCACAGACCCAAGGGTCCTGGACTGTGGGGTCCTGGGCCCCCTTTTTTTCCTTCTTGTGTTTTTTGAACTTCTTGCCAAATCTGGTTTCCTCCTTACCCTGTCTGGGGTCTGGGGAGGTTTTCAGCCCAGAGGCATGGGACATGGCCAGAGGTGACTTCTTCTTTTTCTTCTCTCTACTGAGGAACTCTAGGTGGCCAAGTACCTGCTTCCTGGGGCTGCATGACTTCTCCGTCCGCCTGGCACGCGGCATGGTCTCAGATTCTACTTGCTCCTCACAAAGCGTGCTGATGCTTTTCTTTTTCTTTTTCTTCACTAGAGGCATCTCAGGTGCCTGCCCGCGGACCAAACTCTTACAGGAGGATGTGGCTCTTATAGGAGAAACATCAGCAAAGTAATCTTCATTGTTGAAAACTGGGCGCTGAGTCTCTAGTTCTTTGACCACTCTTCTTCTTCTTCTTCTTCTTCTTCTTCTTCTTCTTCTTCTTCTTCTTCTTCTTCTTCTTCTTCTTCTTCTTCTTCTTCTTCTTCTTCTTCTTCTTCTTCTTCTTCTTCTTCTCCTTCTTCTTCTTCTTCTTCTTCTACTTCTTATTCTTCTTCTTCTTCTTATTCTTCTTCTTCTTCTTCTTCTTCTTCTTCTTCTTTCTTCTCTGGGAGCCCAGCGAACAGGTCTACTTTGTGTGTCTTGGTGATCATTCCCGTGGGCCAAACTTCCGCGCCTCCACGTGAGAGCCCGCTACCGATGATGTATTTCTTAATGTGATCTTAAATTTATAGTCTTAGAATAAGCCCTATTTGATCATGTGGAATTACTCTCAGCATACTGATGAATTTAATATGTGGATGAGTTTTTACTTATTTATATATGAATTTGATTTATGTTTTCTATACTAACTCATAATACATGAATTAGTACATAATACATATTTATGTTAAGTTTAGCTTCATACAATTTTATTCTATTATTTAAAATAGTTTAAATGTCATAGGAAGTATATTTTTTTAAAAAGTTAGGCTGGGTGTGATGGCTTATGCCTGTAACCCAGCACTTTGGGAGTTCAAGGCAGTTAGATCACTTGAGGTCAGGAATTTCAGACCAGCCTGGCCAGCATGGTGAAACCCTGTCTCTACAAAAAATACAAAAATTAGCCATGTCTGGTGGTACATACATGTAATCCCACCTCTTTGAGAGGCTGAGGCAAAGGAATCACTTGAACCTGGGAGGTAGAGGTTTCAGGCAGCTGAGATTGTGCCACTGCACTCCAGCCTGGGTGACAGAGCGAGACTCCCTCTATAAAAAAAAAAGGTGAAATCTAATCACAAAACCAGGCCATAGAATGAAGACCTTTCAATAATCTTTGCAAACTCCTCTTTAACACTGATTGATCTATTTAGATGTTCTGCATCTCCTTGGTTCAACCTTTTTTATATTTATTTTAGTAGAAAAAAATTATTTTCTCTAGATCCTTACATTTCTTTCCATATGTTCTTTTAAAGATATACAAAGTTGCATAAAATAATCTCTTATAATTCTATAATTATTTCTGTATCATCTGTGATTATGTTTTCTCACTCCTAATACAGAAGGTTTTTTTTTTTTTCTTTCTATTTTTTGAGACAGAGTCTCACTCTCTTGCCCAGGCTGGAACACAGTGGCATAATCTTGGCTCACTGCAACCTCCACCTCTGGGGTTCAAACTATTTCTCCTGCCTCAGCCTCCTGAGTAGCTGAGATTACAGGTGCACACCACCGCATCATGAAAATTTTCATATTTTTAATAGAGAGGATATTTTATCATGTTGGCCAGGCTGGTCTTGAACTCTTGACCTCAAGTGATCCACCCGATTCAGCTCTCCTGGCCTGCTTTCTTTCTTTATTTTGTTAATCTGGGCCAGGCACAGTGGCTCACACCTATAATCCCAGCACTTTCAGAGATGGAAACTCATGGATCCCCTGAGGTCAGGAGTTGGAGACCAGCCTGACCAATGTGGTGAAACCCCGTCTCTACTATAAATACAAAAATTAGCTGGGCATGGTGGCATGTGCCTGTCATCCCAGCTACTCGGGAGGCTGAGACAGGAGAATCGCTTGTACCCAGGAGATGGAGGTTGCAGTGAGTGGAGATTGTGTCATTGCACTCCAGCCCAGGCAGCAAGGGCAAAACTTCCTCTCAAAAAAAAAAAAATCTGAATTGCCATAGTTTATCTATTTAATTACACCTTTCAAGATATCAGCATTTGGCTTTATTTATTTTCTTCTACTACTTTTCACTTGTTTTTTATTTTCTTTTTCAATCTGGGCTTTAAAGTAAAATTTTTATTTTCAGGTTGGTAACAAAGTTCTTAATCAAAAACTAGATTTTAGATCTAAAATATTGATGTTTCACTATGAAAGGAAAGGCCTAAGCCTCATAGAGGAATTAGATGTTTATTATCTTCTATGTACATGATACCTATTGGTACTAATCACTTCCAGCTTCCCTAGGAAAGCTGAAATATCTCAATGAGGAAGGTAATAAATGAAAGACACATATAGGCCTTCATAAATAACATATTAATTAGTTAATTGAACTAGGCATGTTTCAGCTCTGGACTGCAGGCCAGCTATGTGAACTCCAATACCGTTTCTGTAGATTCTTGGGATGTGGCTGGATTCTTATCCAAATAAATCTGAAATTGTGGAATATAGACAGAAGCAATCCCTAGTTATTAATGGCATAACAAACCCTCAGAAATGCATGGAGACTTAAAATAGGACTAAAGTAAAGTAGGCATCTCATCTCTAAGATGATCTTGTCTCGTGTTCATGTCTCTTTTCAAATAATTTATGTTATACACCCAGTAAAAGAATTTATTTTAGGAAATACTTTCATTTAAATTTATGGGGACCATTGTGGTAATCTGGAAAAAAATAGCCTCCCAAATAGATATTCACCTTCTAATCCCTGAAACCTCTGAATATAATCTCACCTGTCTAAAGAGTGAATGTTATCTTATTTGGAAAAAGGGTCATTGCAAATATGATTAAGTTAAGAATCAGATGAAGATAATATTTTGGATTATTCTAGATCCTAAATGCCATAGTAGTGTCCTTAGAAGAGAGAGGCAAAGTTTGCCCCCCCCACACACACACACGAGAACTGATGACAGAGAGGAGACTGAAGTAATGTGGCCACAAGCCAAGGAACACCAAGAAATGAGTGCAACACCTGCGGCTACCAGAAGCTGTACAGATTCTTCTTAGAGTGTAGACACCTTGATGTCAGACTCTGGCCTCCGCACCTGTGAGACAGTACATTTCTATTGTTTTAAGCCAAGTTCGTGGTAATTTGTTATGGCAGCCCTAGAAAACTACTGGAATCACTTTATGTCTTAAATTCAAACTTTTTATACATCTAGGAGAAAGCCATGGGGTCTATTATAGCTGTATTTTATTATAAGAAATAAAATGCGTCTTCAATTCACAAAGATTTATTTTAAATAGTCATGTTTCAGTAACACAAGAGAAGGCCAAAGGCAAATCACAAAAATGATAGTACTGAAATCCTAAACCCTAGGGTACTGCCTTCTCAACTGCATATTGATTACCAACCAATAAAGTTCAGTCTTCATTTAAACCAATTAGTGAATGAGCAGACAGGAGTCCCACTGATTATTTTTCTTTTAATTATTTTTTATATATTTACGAGTTAAAGTGATGCTGAATTGGAGAGAAATCATGAAATAACAAAAGCCCACTGAAGTCCAATTTTATTTACCTACACCTTCTAATTTTTTGTGCATACTGAGAAAGAGAGAGAGAGAGAGAGAGAGAGAGAGAGAGAGAGAGAGAGAGAGAGAGAGACAGAGAGAGCGCAATTACATGAATCAGGTTCTGTTATAATAAAAAACAAGTAATTACCTTGTTTTTATTATAATAACCTGTTTAAACACTTATCAGTAGATTCTATATAGACCTTATCTTCAATATTTACAATAGTTTTGAAAACTAAATTTTAGTTGTTTCATTTTGGAAATTAGAAAAATGAGAATTAGAGAGGTTAAGTTACTTCCTGCAGGTTATAAAGCAAATAAGACAGAAATGAAACTTTGCTTTTTAGCCTATGTTCTTTCCATGATATGGCACTTTCTCCTAACTCTGAGACCTGCTCTCACATATTGCTTTGAAAACAAAACAAACTTAGGACAGGGCTTGAGTCTCTTCTTTGTCTTTTTCTTCCTCTTCCCCATCCTTTCCTTTTCCTTCCTCTCTTCCTCCTTTTACTTCTTCTTCCTCATTGAAAGCGTCTTTGAGATGGCTTGGAGACATAATAAGAATTATGTTTTCATAACTATATATATATATATACTGAGTTCCCATATCTGGGTTCAACATAGTAAAAACACGATTTTAGCATCCAATTTTCTTGTGTTTTACCTGTTGTTCTCTGCTGCATCTTATTTTGTTCTAAAATTCTTATAAGTATTACATTCACTTAGTAAGATACTGACGCCTCTAATTTTGCCTTTGTTGTTCATTCCATGTCTCAGAAAATGGTACAAAATCTTTCCAATTGTTCAAGTTACAAATTTCCAAATCATCAGTAACTGTACTCTCTCGTGTTATTCAATCTCTGTTTGTACCATATACAGCTGCTTAACCAATTCTGTGTATTTTACCTAAAAATTACAATTCTTAAATTTTAAGAATGAAGGTAATAGATCTAGAAAGTCTAATAAAAACTCATTCCCCAAAATATACATACAAATAAGGAAATACAGTTTCAGGGAGTTCACAGGTATTCCAGAACCCATTTTTAGACCCTGGAAATGAAAACTCTACTCTGCTAAGTACTTTCTCCTTCATCCATCTCAGCTCTTCATCCCCACTCCAAGCTTTAGTTTTCTTCAGCTTTCACTTGAGTTATGGTTTAGTCTCCCAGCTGATTCTCCAACTCCTGTCTACAATCTATTTGTTAACCAGGTGCCAAGATAAACATTCTAAAATAGATATCTGAGATGCCAAATCTTGTCAATGTGCCCTTCAGCTAGCTCGTGCTAGTTGGCAAGAGTTGCATGTCTTCCCAGTTCACAGTTCAGTGATGTCCAGTTGGCAGCTTGAAATCTGTCATAGTGGGAGTATTTACAGAATAAAAGTTGACAAATGTGACAAATCAAGTTTTTAGGCAAGAGGTTCACCAGCACACCACTGCCTGTATTTTCAAAGGTTACTGTTGGTCACTACCTAAAGTCCAAACTCTTTAGCATGTTAGACCTCTATCATCTGGGCTTAAACTTGCTTCCTAGCTCCATATCTCACTATTCTCTCTGGTCTAGAAAACATAATCAATAACACCAAACTACTCGTATACAAATACACAAAATGGTTTTCCACAGTGTGCCAGTCTTGATACAAAGAAACTCTTTTATCAACAACCAAATCTACTTTGTTCGAACTCAATCTTAAATGTTGCCTTTTTGCCAAGT